TATTTACAAATTGTTTATTTTTGTCATGCAATAAGCAATAGAAAGTTTAAATCTAATAATAACCAATCATTGTCAAAACCTAGTATATTTTGTATGGTTTCATTGTATGTTGTTAAACCTAAAACATAGAAAATAGGAGAATATTTCACACAAGTAACAATAAATAATTATTAGCGGTTTATGTTAACGAGTATTATTAAAAGAACATCTACTACTAGTAATGCAAATTTCTATGATGAGAAATACTTGCATTCCTATATGTAGATGTTCTGGGAGTTCTCTTATATATTGGGAATCTATTTATATTAGTCAATAATTTCAAAAATATATCATAGAAGAATGGAAAATAAAACTACATTATACTAGTGTTCATTATATTCAAGGAAACGATATTAATGAAAGTTCTAATAAAAGCCTTGATTATATACTTAAGATTATATATGAAGAACATGATATGCCTAATGAAGGAATAGTAAAAAATGTAGCATTGATATACAATAATATACCTCACGGAGATTTGACAAAAGTATTATGTTTTACCATTTTTGAAATGGAATATATATATCTTGGTTTTTCACAATTATTAAATGAGAATACAATAAAGATAAAAACAATTTATTTAAATGATAGATAAAAAAAAAAGTACTTGAATATTTAAAAAGATTGAAGGAGAAACCAATGGTTTAGTTTAAAGACATTAATGTCGATAGCATTATCTGATAATAATTGTCAGAATTTGAATGAAATTATATGAAGAGTTATAGAGGTAAAAATCAACATAAACCTTAATGGTTTTTTCCGTATAGGGTAACTAAAATGGTTAATGGAAAATTAAAAGTAGTACTTATATAAGTAAAGAAATTAAAATACCACTTTCTAAAATTAAATTATTAGGTGATAAAACTAAAAAGATATACAAGATTCAATTAAAGAATTTACCATAATTTAATGAAAAGAATAAGAAAAATCCAAAGCTTATGCATGAATTGGAAACTAAAAACTATTCTAGTATGTATAACAAAAATATAGCAATAAAATATGAGTTAAAAAATAGTTGAGTTAGTAAAATAGACAAGGATATACAAAAAGCATTTGCAAATTTAAAAAAATTCAAATAACATAAAATGAAATAATATTATTATTTTTCTTAAGGTGGTGAAGTATGATCTATAAATGGTATTATGAAGTTTAAATAAATTATATATATATGAAGTAAATATATATTCATTTGAGAATACTACATATGTAGGAAAAATGTAAACATCTAAGCACATTAAAAGATACTATAAGAAAATATGTTCATTGAAAGAAGGTACACTAAAAGAAAAATATAAATGTATATTATTTTTTTTGTGTATTTACAAGGAATAAAAAGAAAACATGTATTTTATATGTTTTTTTTTTTTTTTTTTTTTTTTTGGTACATGATAATTTAAAAAAAAAATATTACATAAATAAATGGTAATCTTTCTTTAATTTTTTTTTTATAATCTTTAAAGGAAAAAAAATAGTTTTTTTTTTATGGAAAATGGTGTCTATGTTTTAATTTGTGAAAAATTAGAAATGTAACGTTAAATGTTACATTTATGGTGTATTGTGTAAACTAACAAATAATAGAATATACATTTAATATTAATCATCAAAAATAAATAATATATATAACTTATTCTATTTTAAATTAAATAAGTAAAATTTCTATACATGCTCTTTATTAATTTCCCTGTTGAATACTAACATTGTCATTGAACAATTCATAAATCAATTGTTAATAAATAAATATACTAACTAGTTTAAACTTCCAGTAGGATGAAATAGAATAAATTTAAAATTTTATTTTGGGGAATTGGGGTACTTGAAAAAATGAATAAATACACTAAAAAAAAGTTTATTTTTAATTTTTTTTTATTTAAATTTAATGTTGATTTTTAAAAAAAAATAATATTAACAAAAATATGTAGCAAAATTTTATTTAACTATAATGTCTAATATATAGTAAGTGTAGCATTGAGAACAAATAAAATATTAAATCATCATATTTTATTGAATGGATTATAAATTTAACACGAAATGATGTATTTATTTTTTACTAAGTACCATAATTATATAAGATTGTGTATTATTCATTAGTAATTTTATAGTAAATAATATCTACATAAATAACTCTGCATGCTCATAATTCGAATGTTCATTATACTATATAAGTATTTTAACAACAAAATTAATATATAAATAAAATTTTTTATTTTTCAAAACATCCTCAAAAATGAAGTTTATTTAAATAGCTCTTCTATATATCGTACATTAACTTTCAAAGCATAAAATAAAATAAAATAAAATAAGAAACTATAATGTCAATGAATATGAATGTTTCCTAATAAAAATAATGAACTTAAAAGAATTAATGTATGCATATATAAATACACATATATATATATATATATATAAATGAAAAATAAATAAAATAATTTCTATATAAGTAAAGTTATTTACACATTTGTATATTTTTAACTTTTATATCATTAAAACATCAGAATTGTTAATATTTATTGATATAATTATTTTAATATATGAAAAATACATATTGTGTAAAAAATGGAATTTTCTAGTATATATAACATGAATTGTTTTAAATAAATAATTTCATTCATTAATTAGCAACATAAATATATTTAATTATGTCATATATTCTTTATAGTATACAATTTCATTATATTATTACTCTAGAAAACAAAATTATAATTATTTATTTTTACAAAAATCTTTAATAATAAATGGCATATATGCATTACTAATGATATATTAAATTGTGTATTTTCCATTTTTATGGTAAATTTAGAAACTAAATTTAATTATTAGTTTAATGTAATTATAATTCAATCCTTAATAAATATAATTTACATGATTTAATGTTCATATTTTATTAATTATGAAAAATAAAATAACATTAAATAAATATATTTTTAATTTAATATTTTTATTTTTTAAAACCTAAAAACAATTCATCTGTGTATTCATTAATATCATATTAAATCACAAAAGAAAAATTTATACATATCTCACTTCACTATAAAAAAAATAATCATTTCATTCTAAATAAAATATTATGTAAAATTTATATAAAAAAATGATAAAAATGTCTAATAGTTTTTTTTTATATAATCATTAATTTATATTTAAATAAACTAAAATAATGAAGTTATTTTAGATAATTCCTTCTTTTAAATACTATTCGTCTTTTTAAATGTATCTTATTAATATAATCATGAGAACGCACAAAAATATTAATAACTCGTCTTTTAATTTATTTACAAAAGAGCCTCAAAAGTTAATTATATAAAAAGATAAAAATTTAAATCTACATTAAATATAAAGGTATTTTAAATCATAAAAAATGATAAAAAAAAAAATAGAAAAAAATAAGATCCTACATATTTTATCTTCCTCTTTTAATTATTCATATTTAGAAAAATTCTACATAAAAATATTCAAAAAAAATTAGAATACTTTCTATTATCCTTAAGTATATTTAGTCGAAAATATTTTAATATATTTTTATATTACAAATTTAATTCATATTGATAAATATAATGAAAAACGTATTTTTGTAACTTTGAAAAAGAAAATATTCTTAACTTTAATATTTTTTAAAATTCCAATTTAATTTTTTCTTTTTCATAATAATCTTTATTTACCATATACTATTCTTATTTATTTTAACATAGTTTAATTGCTTTATTTGAAAGAACTATCATAAAACTAGACATTATCATTGCTATTGTAATTATCATTAATGTTGTTATGAACATCTTAAACAAAATTTAATCTTAATTTTATTTTTCTCATTCTTTATATAAATATTCATAGTTTAGATATTATGATTATTATAATTATTATAATTATTTTCATTAGAATTGCATAAAAATAGCTTCTTTTGTAAATGCAATTATAGATAAGAATAGAATCATACAAATTGAGTCCTTAAAAGTACCATTCTATTTATATTCACAATCTTTTTCATTCCTTAAAATTTGATAATATTTTACTTATAAAATTTATTAATCATATTTAATACTATGAAAGTTGCTGCTAGCTTAATCATTTTCGCTGTTTAAATCTCCAAACTTGAATGAGTATAAAATTAAAAAGTTTTTATTGCTTTTAGTATAAGCACACTTATGTTTTATTATTATTACATACATAATTTATATAAAATGAAAAACTTATTTATATATTGCTTTATATCCTATAATCAACAACATACTAAAATATTGTACAATAATAAAGATTACTCTTAATTTTCTTAAAACCTCCACTAGGAAAGTGGTACAAGGTGAATAATTATTTGTACGACTACAATATTTAAAAAAATATCTCAATAGTTCATATAAAATTATTAAATAGGTATATTAATAAAAAATAAAAAATTTCTTAAAAACAGTTGTATTTTTTTTATTAATTACAAAAATAATATTAAATATTAAAAAAATTCACCTCATTAAATTTAGAAACCTATGCTAAATTTTATAAATTATCTAAAAAAACAAAAAGTAACAAAAGAATTAAAATTATAAATCTTAATTAAAATTACATTAAAACATAAAATATGGAAAAAAAATTTAGATAAAAACATTTAATAAAAAATATAAAAATTTTTTAAAGTACATTAGTTTTAATATTTGTATTTTTGTATATTCTTAAAGTAGTTAAGAAAAAACAAAAAAATTAATAAATATATATATATATATATAATTATCCATAAAAAACCCCTAAACAAATTAAATTTTTAGTTCATAAAAGAAAAACATATATTCATTTTTTAAAAATTCAACATAAAAATCCTTTCTTTTATTATTAAAACTAATAAAAGGGAGAAAATAAAAATAATCATCAAGAATTTAATTCTTCTTTCAAAAAAAAAAAAAAATTTTTAGCAAAATTTTAATTGTTGTTTTATATTAATTTTATACTTTAAGTATTTTCTTTTATTCAATAATTGATTATTAAAGCATTTCTAATTCACAGCCTTTTTTATATGTTTCCATAGCATACTTAATAGAATACAGAGCATATCTACTCATGGAATCAAATTCTTTCATTTGGGATCTTGTAAATTTCAAATCTTTTCTTTTTATTTCTTCCCTCATGTACTCTTTTATATCTTTAATGGAAGGTAAAATTTTGTTGATATCATGTATTCCTCTTCTATAAATTTCTTTTGAATTTTCTATTCCTTTTGCTATGGCACTTTTAAGAATGTCATCAGATATTACAGCTAATTGTGTATCCCAAATAGATTTACGTTTTGATTCATGAATTCCAATTCCCAATGCAGCAATTCCAGCTAGTGTTATTGCTGTACCTATAAGCGCATACAAAATTTTTCTTTTCTTCTTTTTTTTTTCTTCCAATATATTAGCAAAAGGATCTGCTAGATTGTAGTTATCCTTTTCATATAAGTAGTTCTCACATAAACACTGTTTTAATAAATTAATAATTAATAAATATATGAAACAAAAATATACTTTCGTTATTTTCATTTTAGTTAGGTAAAATTATTTTAATTATAAAAATTTTTATTTAAAAAAATATATTTATTGTAAAAAATATTTTCTAACTTAATACAAAATTTAAAAGTAATTTGTAACTTCTACTTTTATCAAATAGTCCTTTTTTTTTTTAAATTTTATATTTTTTAAAAATATTTTATTTTATTTTTTTTTTTTTCTTTTTATCCTATTTTTCTTTTAGTTGTACTTTTTCCTTTTTTTTTTAAATATTTCTTTTTTATTATTAAATTTATTTTATTTTACATGCAAATTCTAAAGAAATAATAAAATTTTCTAGATTTTCTTTTTGATAATATAAATAGATATTATTCTTTTTAAAATGTTATACCATTTTTTATTAATTTTTTCAAACTGTTCACGTCTAATGAAAATTATAATGAATTTTTGTTTCTCTTATTTTTTTTAAAAGGCAATACATAAATTTTTATCTTTGTACTTGTGAGCTACATATTAAATTCTTTTATGTAATTATTTATGATAAAAACAAAACTAAATTATACAAATATTATTAAAACAAGTTAAATATAATTTAAATTAATTTACCAAAATAATAAATAAAACATATTAAAAAAAAAACAAATGAAAATAAATAAAATGATATTATTTAATAAATGCGCAAGAATCAATAATATGTAAAAATTTTAATTTTACATAGAAAATTTATAATTAAAAGATTTTTATATTTTGAAAATCCTTTATTTTTTTATCCTTACCAAAAGTATCAAAAATTTGATATATTTTAGTTGTTAAGCTTTCATTCTTAATATGTTTTTTATAAATTTTTTAATCAAGTAATTATAAATGAAAAAAAAAAAAAAAAAAATATATCTTGTATTTTTTTTTTTTTATTGTTAAGTTTTTCTTCCAAAAAAAAAAAAATTTTTTTTCTTTAAAAAAAGAAAATATTCTGTAAAAATAAATGAATTATTGCAAAAAATTATTGGACAAATTTATTATAATTTTTTAATATTATTTTACATATTAAAAACTCTTAAAATATAATGTAATTTCTCTTTAATGTTTCTTATATCACTTTAAAAGAAGGATGAACCAAAACGAAAAATCATTGGAATATATATTAAAAAAAAGAAAAAGAAAAAACAGAAAAAAAAAGTTATGCATATGTAATTGTGTATAAAAATTTTATTAATATTTTCATTTTTTGCAACTATGAATTAAAAAAGAATTTTCTTCATCCCTGTTTATATAAGTTTATTTTTATATATTATTAATTATTTCTTAAAGAAATATGTACAATTTCATTAAATTTGATATGTGACTTTTGTTTGAAATCAATATAGTTCTGTATTTTAATGATATTAGTGATTGTTTATATTATTAAATTTTTATATGATATTATATCTTATTATAAATGCAGCCTTTATAATATATTTAAAATTATTAATAAACCCTATGTATACTGTCAAAATATTGTTAATAAAAAATTAGGATAGTGTTATACCAATAAAAGTAAATCAGTCCAAGAGGAAGATTATTTTTTTATTTCTAGTATTTATATTTATATATAAGTTACTTTTGAAAAAACAGAAATAAAAATGTAATAAATGTAGTGTTTTTAAAAAATAATTTTGCATTTTTATTAAAAAATTTACAAAATAGCTGAAATTTTTGGAGTTTTTAAAAAAAAAAATACTACAGAAGTAAAAGAGTAAATGTTATATTTAAATGAAAGTTCTAAATTAATAATAAAAATAAGATACAAATTAAAGGAATTAATTTCTTATAATATTTAAATTTTTTTTATAAAGAATTATTAACATTATAATTACATTTATTATTTAATGTTTATAATTTCATTTAATTAATTCAAACTACATAGATCTTTTTTATAGAAACTTTGGTTAGGATTTCCTAAATGATATGTATTTTTAATAATAATTATTTTTTGTCCATTGTTTTAATTTTTTATTTTTACTTGTAACTCTATAAAGAATTAATTCATTTCTTTTTTTTTTTTTTTTTTTGAGATTAAAAATATTAATTTTACCAATATTACAATAATAAAAATTATATTGTAAATAAAAAAAAAAAAAATAAAATTGTAAATATTTTGTCATAAAAATTATTTTTCACTCAAGAATTAACTAATGTAGAATAGTTTAAAGATCTAAATTATATTTTTCCTAATAATCTTCCTAATTTCTAATAATCAAATTTTTAAAAATCATTTTATTTACTTCTATAGATATCAAGATAAAATACCTAAAAGAAAAGTTCAAATTAATCTAGACACTTATTTTTTTACACTTTTTCCTTATTCTTTTATATCTTTCTTATGAGATAAAATTAGTTACTAAAAATATAAATTTTTATTTTTTTAAATTTTCTGTATAAACGAAAATTCAATAGAAAATATATAGTTCAAGAATTAATTCTAAATTACTTTATATATTACAACTAAAGATAAATATCAGAATTACAACATCATAATTATTACTTAAAATTAGAATATCAAGAAAATGGAAAAAAGGTTCATTGTGTATGATAACAAGACAAACAAATGAAAAAAAAAATATATAGAATAAGTCATCTTAGTATCTTAGTATTATTATAATATATGAAAATAATTTTCATGAATATTGATACATTGCTGAGGTTCACATGAAATAGAAATATTTCTAAAAAAAAAAGGATGAGATACGAAAAATACCTTAAATGTTTCTAATGAAAGATAGAAAAAATAAGACACATAAAAGAAATAAAGAATATTATTTAGAAAGGTGAAATTACATAGTTCTAAAATACGAACTATTAAGATGCAAAAAGTAAAAACGAAAAATAACAATATATAAAAAATAACTAGTAGTATAATTTAGAAGGATATAATTAACAAAAAAGGATAAAAAAAAAAGTAGATATAGAGATACAATGGTGTATTTGTTTTGTGATAGAGATGAAAAGTTTTATAAAAAAAGAACATTTATTTCTTGAATATATGCGTATACAATATTTTACCAGTAAAATGATAGACAAATAATAAAAGGAATAAGAAAGAGAAATAGAAATTCAAAAAAGAAAAAAAACACAACTTGAAAAGAAATTGAAAAAAAAAAAAAAAAATACAGAAAGTTTGCTTAGTAAAATGATTAATCTGGAGAAAGACAAAAAACAAGTAGAAATCACATTTTTTCAATATATTAAAGTATGTGTGATAATTGTAATATGATATTAGAGAAATTTCAGAATAATATAGTGAATAAATGAATTGCAAACTTCATTTTAAATGTGAAAATAGAAAAGATATAAAGCAAATTAAATATGTGCAAAGAATAAATGAAAGGAGCTTTATATAATCAATACGGAGTACCACATTACACATAACTTAAGAATACTTGTGAAAAAGTTCAAACCTACGTAGATAATTTTTACATTGTAAAAGAAGAGCTGTATATACTGAGGAAAAAATGCGAATCATTTGTACTTTTTATGAGAAAATTTATGAAGATATCTAATAAATGCTATAAATAATGGATTTTTAATAGGGTAAATAATTTAATGAACTTGAAGAAAAACGTATTTATCTGTATGAAGCAATTACATAAGATATTATTTAAAAAAATAAATAACAAAAGTTAACTGAATAAACAGGGAAAGGTAAAAAAAAAGTATTGATCACGGTTTATTGAAAAGGAATTAATGAAATTAGATTGAATACATTCTTAATCTTAAATGAAGTGCCTTTAATAAGTAATATCAAAACAAAAATTATAAATTATATAGTTATATATATTATGAGAAATTATAACATTGAAGAAAATACTTTTATAAAACAATAAGTAGTTTATTAAATGTCTATTCATAGACTTTTGTAGTATTTTGAACAGTGAATTTAATAAAAAGAATACTCTTTATTCTCTATTTTACTTACTCTTATGTATGAATATAAATATATTATATGATTTTTACATAGCTAACAAATATTATCACTTAGTTAATAGTAAATATATGATATTTTCTACATATTTTCAATTGTAATTAGGGTAAATATAGATTATACAATGTTTTACTATGTATGTAAAGTAGATGAATAAAACATATTTAAATGGATAGATTATATGAATTTTAAAAAATGAATACTCTAAAATACTTACATTATATTACATGTTTTTGTAGATGGATGATAATTTTTTTTTTTTTTTTTTTTTTTGTATAATAATTTCTTTTTCTGAGAGAGAAAATTAATTAATTATTTGCATAATATATGTGACATATGATGAAACTTCGTAAGGTTGAATATAATTTTATTCACTGTATATGTTACCAAGTTTAAAATAAATGATAAATTTAACATTAAGTGATTAATTATTAAAAAACATACAAGTGTAATAAAAATTTATCTTCAAAATTTAAAGTAAGTTATGTGTTAAATTAAATAGTACAATTTATTAGTAATTAATTATTATTTACAATAATTAATATTATAATAAGCAAAGTAGATAGAGGTTTCTCTACATGTTCCATATTAATTTGATTATTCAAAGTGCTACAAAAACTTTTGAACGGTAGATAAAAGTATTAATGATACTTAACTAGTATTAAATATCAAATATATAAGAGTGAGGAAGAAGACTTCCTTCTAAATTCAACGAATTTAATTACTTCTTTTATCAAGAATTTATGCATAAAGTTAGGTGTTTTATTATTTAAAAATATATAAGTCTTACACATATTACTCATAATTACCTCATGTTAACATAAAAATAATATAATGAATAAAAATATTTTCTCTTTTAATATTCTTATATTTATTATTTACCTATATTTCAATATTGAATTACTTTTTGTGGTCTGAATATTATATTCTTCCTTTCTATTTTCCTTTAAAAATACATTTCATTTAATATTAACTCCTAGAGATAAACTTCTCTTGAATTTTATTATATTAAAAATTATAAATATACAAAAAAAAAATATAAAAAAAGAATATATAAAAAAAATACTACATTTAT